CTGTGTTCATCCAGCTCTACACCTTGTTATCTCAGATTCTCCAGCATCTGCAGTCCCTACTATCTCTGAATGTTTTCAGCGATGTTGGTTGAAGAATAACTGATGGGCAGGGTATCAGGCTGTACACACTCCTCATCTTCAAAACTGTGCCAAGAGATCTATGATATTCCACTACAATGGACCTCAGTTTAACATCTCATCTGAAAGACGGCATCTCTGATGGTGCAACACTGTCTCAATGGTGTATGAAAGGATCAACAGTGACAACAATGTAGTTACAAAGCATTCTCAATGTGGTGCAAGATCCCAATGTGCTTTGCAAGTCTGGTATTGAATTGCCATTGTGCCAAATAGGGTGACACAAAGGCAACGGTCATAAAAAAGGTTCAAAATGTCAGCTGACCACTACCGTCTCAAGGGAAATTAAGGATGGGTAATAAAAAACAGCCTTTCTAGCAATGCTCATAACCCGTGAACAAATAAAACTCTATCAGGTCACTTCTCAGTCTTAATTTAAAAACCGAAAGAACTGCGATTGCTGTAAATCAGAGACGAAAATAGAAGTTGCTGGAAAAGCTCAGCAGGTCTAGCAGCATCTGTGGAGAAAAATCAGAGTTAACGTTTCAGGTCAAGGCACTCTACCCAAAACGTTAACTCTGATTTCTCTCCACAGGTGCTGCCAGACCTGCTGAGCTTTTCCAACAATTTCTATTTTTGTCACTTCTCAGTATTGACCTTCTTCCCTGATCATTGTCTCCTCCTTAGTACTGGCATTGCCTTGTGAATACACCCTCTATTTTTCTCCTACACAAACACAGAATGTTCTGAGGAAGCGTCACCGGACCCAAAACGTTAACTCTGATTTTTTTCTTCACAGATGCTGCCAGACCTGCTGAGCTTTTCCAGCAACTTCTGTTTTTGTTCCTGATTTACAGCATCCACAGTCCTTTCGGTTCTCATTTTCTCCGAATTTTCTCGTTAATAGAATAGAGAGAATAGAACACAGCACACAAGGAAAACAATAATTTTACTGCTTTGTCCAATGGCCAAAATGCACTTGGTATTATAAAGGAAATCCCTTATTCTAACACTGTCATATTAAGAAAAGAGCGAGGGTGCTGTTTTAATACAGGCTGGCCTTTTTGCCTAAAGTTATCTTTACAAATGCAGTAACAACTTTTTGTCCCTGCTCACGCTGTTTCCAATTAGGCTGCCCAGATGGTAGCTGCTCAATGCAGGCATAGGTTATAAAGTTTTCCTGTTCGAAAGCCATCTGTTTTGAATGGTAACTCAAAGAAAACCCAGGTTACCCTTCCTAATGTTGCATATGTTGTTATCTTTTGTATGGTTTGAGGAAAGTGTCTGTTGAATTTGTCAAGATTTTCCAATTTGTCTCTCGTTTTGGAGTGTTTGATATCCAGCTCCTGTTGGGATTGTCAGGTCTCCCCAATAATCAAACATCTACTCCCTCCCACGCCCACTCACTTAGACATCTGGTCACATGTAGGCCAGACCATTTAAGGATGGCAGATTTCCTTACCTAAATGGCAAATTTCCTAGTGATCCAGATTCATTTTAATAACACTCGACAGGATTTATTATGGACATCATTAGGTCCTTTCTTTAAATTCTACATCGTTGTTTGAGCAAGTTTAAATTTCATCATCTGACATGGTAAGATTTGAACATTAGACTGATGTTCTGGATTACTAGGTTCAGGCGACATTAGCACTCTGCTGCAATCACCCCAAATGTGCCAATCCTGCTCGGTGGTAACTATCCTATGGGTAATTATGGATGAGCAATAGTTGCTGGCCAAGCCAGTGATGCCTCCATTCCATAAGCAAATGAAGAAATAAAGTTGGTTGCTATAGCTGGCTTTGCCATTCGATAAAGTTATGGCTGACCTGGCAGTGATTTTAGCTCCACATTCCTGTCTGCCTCTCATGGGAGCGGTACGGTGGCTCAGTGGTTAGCATTGCTGCCTCCCAATGCCAGGGGCTCGGGTTTGATTTCAGCCTCAGGCTGTGTGGAGTTTGCATATTTTCCCTGAGTCTGCGTGGGTTTGCTCTGGTTTCCTCCCACAGTCCAAAGATGTGCTGGTTAGGTAGATTGGCTGTGCTAAATTACCCGTAGTGTCCAGATACATGCAAGTTAAGTGGATTAGCCATGGGAAATGCAGGGTTACAGGGATAATGTGGGTCTGGGTGGGATGCTCTTTCGAGGATCAGTATGGACTGAGGGGCCAAATGGCATGCTTCCGCAATGTAGGGATTCTATGAACGTTACTTCCTCGCCAGTCCATCTAACCTCAGTTTTCATCATAGATGGCTACAGTGTGGAAACAGGCCATTCAGCCCATCAAGTATACACTGACCCTCTGAAGAGCATCCCACCTCTCTGCTCTATAACCTTGCATTTACCATGGCTAATCCATCCAGACATTATGGGCAATTTAACTTGGCTTGGGTTTTCAATAACTCATCTCGTGATTCTCCAAAGCCTTTCTACCATCCATAAGTCATATCTGAGGAGTGTGATGGGATACTCCCCACTTTCCTGCAGCTCCCACAACACTCAAGGAACTCTACTCTATCCAAGGCAAAGCAGCCCATGTTAATGGTAGCTTACACTCCCTGCATCCCCGTTAACATTCACCCACTCCTCCACTGAGGTAGTGTGCTGTCTTACAAAATGCTCTGCAACAATTCACCCAGTCTCCTTCAACAGCATCTTTCAATCCTGCAAACATGACCAGCTAGAAGGATCAGAGAAGCAGATAGATAGGGACGCCACTTCCTTTAAGTTCACCTCCAAGCTCTTCACCATCCAGACTTGCCGTGGGTTAAAATCCTCGAACTCCGTCCCTGTTCACGCTGTGTATGTCGCTATATAACATTGCAATAAGCTATTAGGAAGGTTAACGGGGTGTTAGCCTTCATTGCAAATGGATTTGAGTACAGGAGCAGTGAATTCTTTCTTCAATTATAAAGGAGCTTGATTAGGTTGCACCTGGACTACTGTGTGCAGTTTTAGCGTCTTTCTCTCCGGAAAGACATAATTGCTATAGAAGGAGTCATGGAGTCATAGAGATGTACAGCACAGAAACAGACCAACTCGTCCACACCGACCAGATATGCTAAATTAATCTAGTCCCATTTGTCAGCATTTGACCCATATCCCTCTAAACCTTTCCTATTCATCTACCCATCCAAATGCCTTTTAAATGTTGCAATTGTACCAGCCTCTACTACTTCCTCTGTCAGCTCATTCCATACACACACCACCATGTCCATGAAAAAGTTATCCCTTAGGTCCTTTTTAAATCTTTCCACTCTTACCTTATACCTATGTCCTTTAGTTTTGGACTCACTTGCCCTGGAAAAAAGACCTTGCTATTCACCCTATCCATACCCTTCATGATTTTATAAACCTCCACAAAGTCACTCCTCAACCTCTGACACTCCAGGGAAATAGCCCCAACCCATTCAGCCTCTCCCTATAGCTCAAACCCTCCAACCCTGGCAACATCCTTGTAAATTTTTTCTGCACCTTTGTTTAACGACATCCTTCCTATAGCAGGGAGGCCAGAATTGAACGCAATATTCCAAAAGCAGTAAAGGTTCACCAGACATGTTCTTGAGATGGCAGAACTGTGCTATGAGGAGAGACTGGGCAAACTGGGCCAATATTCTATTCAGTGTGGAAGAATAAGAGATTACCTCATTGAAACTTCGATGGAGGTAAGATGTTTCCCCTGATTGGAGTGTCTAGAATGATGGGACACAACTTACAAATGTGGAGTGGGGCAGCGGGGGGGTGTTGGTGGTGGTGTTGGCTTTTACAAATGAAACAAGAAATTTTTTCAGGCAATGGTGAATCTTTAGAATGCTTTAGAATCTTTAGAGAGCTATGGAGACTTATTCTTTGACTTCATTTAAAGCAGAGATTGATAAGTGTTTGATTATCAATGATGTAAGGGATGACGGGAACAGCACGGGTAAAAGGTATTGAAGTGTACGAGCAGTCTCGTTTGAGTTCACAACTTAGACAATGGCGTAGAAAGTCATGTCTCCAAATTTGCTGATGACACCAAATTAGGCGGTATTGTAGACACGTGAATGGTCATGTAAAATTACAAAGGTATATGGGAAAAATAGCAGGAGATGGAGTTCACTGTAAGCAAATGTGAGGTTATCCATTAATTCCAAAAAAGGTTAGCTCAGGATTCTTTTTGGATGGTATGAATACAGTGGATGTCCAAAGAGACTTAGGGCTTCAGGTGCATCGATCTCTAAAATGTCATGAACAGATGCAGCTAATGGAGTGCTGTCCTTTATATTGTGAGGATTGGAGGACAAGGATGCAGAAGTTGGGTTGCAGTTAGCCAAAACCTTGGTTGGACTCCACTTGGAGTACTGTGAGCCAATCTGGGTATCACACGTTAAGAAAGATATGTTGGTCTTGGAAGGAATATGACATAAGTTTATAAGAATGATATCTGGACTTCAGGCATTATGAGGAGAGATTATACAAATCAGTCCTGTTTTCTCTAGAATTTGGGAGTTTAAGGGGTGATCTGATTAAAGTCTTCAAGACTTTAACAGGAAAAGACAGGGTTGATAAAGATAAACTATTTCCACTGGTTGGGGATTCTACAACTGGGGAGCATAGTGTGAGAATCAGGGCCAGACTGTTCGGGACAGATGTTAGGAAGAACATCTACACACAAAGGGTGGTAGAGTTTGGAACTCTCTTCCACAAAGGGCAGTGGATGCTGGATCAGTCATTCACTTTAAATCTGACGTAGACAATTTTTTTGTTCAGCAAAAGTATTTAGGGAAATGGGCCAAAGGCAGGTGTATGGAGTTAGGCCATAGATCAGCCATGATCTGTTTGGAGGTAGGCCATAGATCAGCCATGATCTGTTTGGAGGTAGGCCATAGATCAGCCATGATCTGTTTGGAGTTAGGCCATGGATAAGCTGTGATCTGATTGAATGGTGGCAGAGGTTCAGGGGGATTGAATGACCTACTCCTGTAGCTATATTCCTGTGGACTGTAAATTGTTCTACAACACTCACATTCTCATGGGCAATTATGGATGGGCAATAAATGTTGACCTTGTCAATGACGCCCACATCCCATAAAGGAATATAAAAAACTCAATCCCATCAGGCTCATATAAAATGCTGCAAATGCTCAGGAGGTCTGGCTGCGTCACTGGAGAGAGAAACCGCATTAAGATTTCAGCTTGCTGACCTCTCATCAAAACTCACAATCGAATCTGGATCAGGACCCAATTCTGAACAGTAACGGACCAGCGGCGATACACTGCTGGACTGCTCAACAACATGAATATTTACCCCATGAACAGGATCCGAGAAGGACAGCAGTGAATAATGAACTGTACGCCTGATGTACTCCAGATTGACGTACCTTCACAGGGATCGAGCCTCCGAGCTCGCCGCCCATGCTTCGAGTTGTTGTGGATGAACATGTTGTCGGATACAGCCAGGACATGGCCGTCCACGTTAATTGTTGTGCAGATGACCACCTGCAAAAAGAAGGCAAGTTGGTTGGTATTGGCGGGTAGGAGTTGGTCAAACACAGAAGGAAGCAGAATTCACAACAGCACATTGACATGTCCTTTATTGTAACAAGGTTCATGCTCCACACGAGTATCTTCCAAACTTACTTCATACTGTCCTATCAACACTTATCTCTCTTTCTTCCTCAAGCACTTTCTGACTGCCCCTGCTCTACAGTTCATGACTATATTCCGCCATTGCAGACATTTGGAAGCATATCAATCAGTACGCCCATACAAGCCAGCTATGCGATGAATTATGAGTTAATTTGTCTTCCTTCTATACCGGCTGAGAGACAATGGTGACCAGGTCAATGGGGCAATACCCAATGCTCAACAGTGGCCATTGGATGCTTTAGGACAACCGAATATGAAATATTTCACCTGAAAAATAATAACGCCAAAAAGATTGCACTTCCACAGGAAAGCCAGGTTAGATTAAGTGCTAAAATATGTTGTGGGGCTTGTCCTTCAACTGAGCCAAGCTCGTCCTTACTTTTGGGTGGCACACTGGCTCAATGGTTAGGACTGCTGACTCACAGCACTAGGGACTTGGGTTTAATTCCAGCCTTGGGCAACTGTCTGTGTGGAGTTTGCACATTCTCCCTGTGTCTGTGAGGGTTTCCTCCCACACTCCATGTTAGGTGGATTGGCCACGCTAAATTGCCCATAGTGTCCAGGGATGTGCAGGTTAGGCGGGTGAGCCATGGGAAATACAGGGATAGGGTAGGGGGAATGCTCGTTGGAGGGGTGGTGTGGACTTGATGGACCAAATGGCCTATTTCCACACTGTAGGGATTCTATGATACCAAAGTTTAACTAGAACATAAGAGATCCTGGAGCAAAATAATATGAGGTAAATCTAGTTCACATTTTACTTTATTTTATTGATTTGTGGGACATGGGCATCACTGGCTGGCCAACATTTATTGCCCAACCCCAGTTGCCTTGAGAAGGTGGTGGTGAGCTGCTTTCTTGAACCACTGCTGACCATGTGCTGTACAATGCCAATAGGGAGGGAATTCCACGATTTTGACCCAGTGACAGTGAAGAAACAGTGATATGTTTCCAAATCAGGATGATGAGGGGCTTGGAGGGAATTTGCAATTGCTGGTGTTCCCACGTATTGGCTGCCCTTATCCTTCTAGATGGAAGTGGTCGTGGGTTTGGAAGGTGCTGTCTAAGGATTTTTTGGTGAATTTCTGCAGTGCATCTTGTAGATAGTACACACTGCTGCTACTGACCTTCGATGGGGAGGAAGTGGATATTTGTGAATGTGGTGTACATCAAGTGGGCTGCGAGCATACCCATCCAGGCAAGTGGGGAGTACTCCATTACACACCTGACTTGTGCCTTGAAGATGGTGGACAGGCTTTGGGGAGTCAGGAGGTCAGTTACTGTTGCCGGAGCTGCCCAATTAAGAAACAAATTGAGTTGCTGGCTAATTGTAGCCACCGATCTCTGCCAATTAGTTGGCTGTAGAATCAAGTATGGGCTGGGAAAAGTACCTGCGGTGAGGAGATTTGGGAACAATAGGTCAAAAGTCGCACGTTCCCACTGGTTACACTTTCCAGGTTGTCATTTATTGCTCGGTGGGGATAGGATTTGGGTGTTTCTGAAAGTAAAAATATCCTGTCAAAACATTTTTTTCTTCTACTCATCAAAACCCAATTGTAAGAATGGGAAAAATAATTTATGTTGTGTGAGGTTAGAGTGTGGAGTGGTTGACAATCAGACTCTGATTGGGCAAGGCATTGCCATGGAAAAAGTACCAAGTAAACATGCCCTCGGTGCAGAAAAAAAGCTAAAGTGAAAGACTTTGTGTACCAAATGATAGCAAGCCTACGGTTCACCTTGTAACCTAAGGCAGAGCTGTCATTTAAGGAGTTAATGAAGCCGTGCAAAAAAATCTTTTCCTTCCTGTTTTGGCAAACTCTTGCACAATGCGAGCACCTACCAGGCAGTTAATCCTTGTAAGTAGCGGAGCTTTCTTGGCTGTAATTTCATTATCAGTCACTAATAGTGCCTTACCAAGTGGCTCTGGTAGTCCCCTCTTTGTTTTGATTGATCTTTTGACAGATTAACCAGTGGCTTTATTTAATTAAGTTCGCCTCACTTGAGAAATGCAATACATGTTTTAAAAAAAATCAAGCCCCTAATGGAATTGCTCTCAAAATAAAAGAGTTTGTAAAATGCTCATAGATGTTCTCCAGTTTTATTTGTCCTCCGATGCCCGGGGCCAGTTTGAGATGCTTGTGTTTTCTTTTTAATTACTCCTTATGCACTAAATCTCTTTTAATCAGGCTATGCTTAAATTTGCTTCACTCGTTGTGGAGTTAAGAGTGATTTGTTCTTTCTCCTCATAGTTCTCTTTAACTGTAATAGAATATCGCAGATGTTGACAACTGTGAAATTCAGCGATTTTCATAGAACAGAAACTTTAACCACCACTTTGGATCTCTCCTTTCACGTAACGCCCCCATCTACATTGTGGAACTCCTTCCCCTTCCTCATACTTTTCATTGCTCTTTCCTTTATTCTTAGCTTTCAAAGGGTGTGGGCATCACCAGCTAAGTCAGCATTTATTACCCCCAGCGCCAATTGCTGTTGGGAAGGTGATGGTGAGCTGACTTCTTCAACAGTTGCATGCCATGGGCTGTTTGGGACACAGTGCCAGGGTTTGATCCAGCATAAAAGGGATGGTTGAGAAGAGGGAAGCCTTTAGAAATGAGATAACGAGAGTTCAGAGGCAGCACGTTCCTGATACGGTGAACAGCAAGGCTGGTAGGGGTAGGGAATGCTGGATGACAAGAGAAATTGAGGATCTGGCCAAGAAACAGAAGGCAGCATATGTCGGGTATGGAAAGCAAGAGTCAGGTGAATCCCTTGATGAGCATTAGGGCAGTAGAAGTGTACTTAAGAGGCAAATCAGGAGGGCAAAAAAGGGACATGAGATAGCATTGGCAAACAGGATTAAAGAGAATCCAAAGGGATTCTACAGACACATTAAGGGCAAAAGTGTAATTAGGGGGAGAATAGGACCCCTTAAAGATCAACGAGCCTGCCTATGTGTGGAAGAACAAGAGAATGGTGAGGAGCTAAATGAGTATTTGTCATATTTACTGTGGAGAATATAGAACATGGAACATAGCGCAATACAGGCCCTTCGGCCCTCGATGTTGCGCCGACCTGTGAAACCAATCTGAAGCCCATCTAACCTACACTATTCCATTATCATCCATATGTTTATCCAATGACCATTTAAATGCCCTTAAAGTTGGCGAGTCTACTACTCTTGCAGGCAGGGCATTCCACGTCCTTACTACTCTTGAGTAAAGAACCTACCTCTGACATCTGTCCTATATCTATCACCCCTCAATTTAAAGCTATGTTCCCTCATGCTAGCCATCACCATCCAAGGAAAAAGGCTCCCACTGTCCACCCTATCTAATCCTCTGATCATCTTGTATGTCTCTATTAAGTCACCTCTTAACCTTCTTCTCTCTAACGAAAACAGCCTCAAGTCCCTCAGCCTTTCCTCATAAGACCTTCCTTCCATGCCAGGCAACATCCTGGTAAATCTCCTCTGCACCCTTTCCAATGTCTCCACATCCTTCCTATAATGCGGTGACCAGAACTGTACGCAATACTCCAAGTGCGGCCGCACCAGAGTTTTGTACAGCTGCAACATGATCTCATGGCTCCGAAACTCAATCCCTCAACCAATAAAACCTAACACACCGTACGCCTTCTTAACAACGCTATCAACCTGGGTGGCAACTTTCAGGGATCTATGCACATGGACACCGAGATCTCTCTGCTCATCCACACTACCAAGAATCTTACCATTAGCCCAATACTCTGTATTCCTGTTACTCCTTCCAAAGTGAATCACCTCACACTTTTCCGCATTAAACTCCATTTGCCACCTCTCAGCCCAGCTCTGCAGCTTACCTATGCCCCTCTGGAACCTGTAACATCCTTCCGCACTATCCACAACTCCACCGACTTTAGTGTCATCCGCAAATTTACTAGCCCATCCTTCTGCGCCCTCATCCAGGTCATTTATAAAAATGACAAACAGCAGTGGCCCCAAAACAGATCTTTGCGGTACACCACTAGTAACTGGAAGGACATGGAAGCTGGAGAACCTGAGGAAATAAATAGTAATAACTTGAAAAGTGTCCGTATTACAGAAGAGTAGGCTGGAAGCATTAAAATGAATAAAGGTGGATAAATTCCCGTGACCCAATCAGTGTATACTAGAACTCGATGGGAGCTAGGGAAGTGATTGCTGGGCCCCTTGCTGAGATATTTGTATCATCAACAGCCACAGGTGAGGTGCCTGAAGACTGGACCGTGGCTAATGTGGTGCCATTATTTAAGGAAGGTGGTAAGGAAAAGCCAAGGAACTATAGACCGGTGAGCCTGACATCACTGGTGAGTAAGTTGTTGGAGGGGATTCTGAGGGACAGGATTTATAAGCATTTGGAAAGGCAAGGACTGATTAGGGATAGTCAACAAGGCTTTTTGCGTGGGAAATCGTGTCTCACTAACTTAACTGAGTTTTCTGAGGACGTGGCAAAGAAGATTGATGAAGGCAGAGTGGTGGATGTGATCTATAAGGACTTCAGCAAAGCGTTCAACAAAGTTCTGCATGGTAGACTGATTAGCAAGATTTGACCACATGGAATCCAGCAGGAGCTAGCCAATTGGATATAAAATTGGCTTGAAGGTACGAGACAGGAGGTGGTAGTGGAGGGTTGTTTGTCATATTGGAGGCCTGTGGCCGTTGGTATGCTGCAAGGATCAGTGCTGCATCCACTGCTTTTCATCATTTATATAAATGATTTTGTTTTAATATAGGAAGTATGGTTAGTTTGCAGATGATATCAACATGAGTGGTGTTTTGGACAGTGATAAAAAGTTATCTCATACTAAAACAGGACCTTGACCAGATGGGCCAA